GTGTACCCATGGTACAATTATTACGGGTATTGCCTTCCCAGGGAACACATATTCCGATCTGCCTTGTTTGAAAAACACCGTTGTTACCCAAATAAATCATAAAAGGTTAAATTTGAAAGCCTACATAGTGGGCCGTATGAATAAAAACTAAGCAATTGCTTTTTCTTAAAATTTCATACAATTTACTTCAACTATGTTTGAAAATATCGAGTAAAATGTCTGATATTTAAGAAAAAGCAATTGTCACTATTGTCTTTAGTCTACCACCCTCAGCGCGAAACTTGCTGCACAAATTGTAAAAGGATGCTGCAAATCGAAGAGATTGTTAAAATCTACTTACTCAATGAAATCCAATGAATTTTTTATACGTTGGCCCATGGTCAAATTATACTATAGTAATTACATATATAAATTTCACCATGGCGCTGGCCAATTTTTGTTTTTATTTTTATCTATCATTCACACATGCATACATACATACATACAAATATATATGGGCGGGAATTAATGTGTTTAGACGTAAACAAAAGCAAATCATGTGTAAAATTTGTTCATTCATAGAAAGGCAATAATTATAGCATTTTACCATTGTGGACATTTTATGAGCAATTCGATAATGCTTAAATACTATTGGGGTATTCACAACGGTGTCGTAAGTGTCGTATTGTTGTATGTCGCAAACTTTAAACGCCTAAAAAATATATTAAAGGGGTCCGTAAAGTACCACCAAAGTCATAAATGAATTTTCGCGGTGTTAAATAATAGTTGGTTGTCGTTTCAAGTTCTCTAAGCATTTATTTAAGCTTTTAAAGTTTACAACACACATTAATACGACACTTACGACACCATTGTGAATCCCTCATATGTAGTAGTATGCATAGTAAAGTTGTATGTACAGCGTGGCGACGAATAACTGTTACACATTTTTTTTTTTTGAAAGATAGAAGGGTCATTTAGATATTTTGGGAAGAGAGTATTTTATTATTAATTTTGTACATATTTTACTTTAACTTCATTAATTAGTTTTAAAATTTTAATCCTTATATGCATTTGCCAGCAGAGAGAGATAAGTACATGCGGCGTGCAAGTTGTTTCAGATGTATTTTTTCTTAGACATTGTATAAAAAATTACAAAAAAAAAGAAAATCTGTACACGATTGGTCGAATGAATGGCCGACCTAGTTACCAGTTTCGAGTCTATTCGGTTGCTGCTGAGCATGAGGCCTTATATCAGACAAAATGGCGAGTATAAAGGGCTCAAAATGGAGGAAATTAGCCTACGGTTACAGAAGATATGGAATAAATTAATAAAATTGCAGAAAAATATGTAGAGAATTAGCAATAAAATACTCCCCTAGCAAAATCTATAAAGGACTGTTTTTGTTTTGTTTCTTAGTCGCCACCCTGTAGTTAAGTATATGCCTTTCATTTCTTAAGTTTAATGGCGTGTTCGCATGCAAACAAACGTCGTTTTTAACTCAAATAAAAAGGTGATAACGATATAACTATGCTACATACATATAAACAGATGTATGTATGTATGTGTGTGTGTATATATGTAAATTTAGGAATGCATAATTGTAATTATGTACCCAATAAACACCAAAAAAATATTTCTCCAACCTTGGAGAAATTCATAGTTCTCAAGTTGATATCCAACATCATTCTCCAACTAAATTTTTAATTATCAAGTGAAAAACGAAAGCTATATAGAGGGGAAAACTACCAACGAAAAGTAAACAATCTTCAAAGTATCCGCAAATATTCTTGAAAGAAAATAAAACGCGAAGTTAATCGAGTGGCAAAATTACTGTCGGACTGTATACTGTGAAGTAAATTATTGTAATACGATATTGATTAACTACATACAATACAAAAGGAGTAATAAAATGAAAAGTTAATATTTAAGTTCATCTACATATATATGTCGTTTCAATCAGTGTTGGCAGAATGTTAATCTGATTAACGATTAAAAATGAACGATTAAAATGTTAATCGCGATTAACGATTAAAATTAATTAATCGTAATAATCTGTATGATTAATGATTAAATTCTTTTAATCGTTAATCGTCGATTGTGATTACGATTAATTAATTTTAATCATCAATCGGTAATCCGATTAAAAAGAAAATCTGATTAAGTGGTCTAGTTTGTCTGCATGAAAAACACATAATACTTATATAAACAAATAATAATTATAATTTGTATAACAAAAACTGGGAAGTTTGACAACCCATGGCACATGTGCAGGGAGATATAAAACCTAGTTTTCATAACGTCTGCTGGTAATAGATCACAATCAAAATGCATACCAAATTGCTTAGATTGATGAGGGAAACCGAATTAGCCATACCCGATTAACTGACCAGCATAAATTAATTAATCACCAAACCTACTTAATCAAATTAAGGGCTAATGATTAAAAACTAATTTGTTTAATCACGGTTACGATTAACTATTTAATCAGATTAAATTAAATCATGATTAACTGTAATTCCATTGAATTTAATCAAATTAACTAATTGATTAAAAAATCATCGATCGATTAGTGCCAACACTGGTTTCAATCAAAAAGGTATAGGGTATTTTACTATTTCAATTTCAGTATTTCAGCGATATGTTTGAGACCAATTGGAGAATTACATTAGAGTTCAAGTTGAGAACTACACTCAGAAAAAAGTCAGCCAAATATATTCCTCTCAACACATGATTTGGTAACTATAAACAAATAATGTAACTATAACCAAATAATGTGTTGAGAAAAACATATTTAGTTGACGTAACTAAACTCTTTTCTCAGTGTAGCATTTTCTCAACTTGAGAAACAGTCCTTTTTTCTTACAAAGAAAAATGCCCTTTTTGTTGAGAACGCTTCGATTCTCCACTTGAGGTACTGTTGAGAAGCAACGTTGGAGATTCGAGAAATATTTACTTAACCTCAAGTTGAGCACAAACCTAAATGTTTATTGGGTATTTTTGTGATCACTATGTGTGACTAGAAGTGGGATAGTGCCTCTTATCATCCACGCCCGCATGGAATTCTGGTCCTGTTCGGCGAATAAACTTACCACAACGGTTTTGGTGTAATTGGTGTTATTGTATATGTACATACATACATATGTGTATCAGAACTACTTTAATCCATAATAATGCAAACGGTATTTTTGATGAGAAAGTGATGCTTACTTATGGTAAATTTGCATTTGATATTGATGACAGCACAACCAACGCCTATAGCAATGTACGCACGTGCAGAACTAAATGAAATCGCAAATTCAAATTTACTACGAACTAGATTTATATTAAGTAATACAGGAAACCACTCCAAAGACAACAAAAAACAAAAAGTCATTCACACATCGGCAATGGCAGCACAGTTACAGTTATCGTTATTTGTTATTCTTCCCTCAATGTTTCACAATTCTTTTTTGCTAGATATATGTATGTACATATCATACATTTGTCAAAAGCGTTAAGAAAGAGGCATTACATTAATTAACTAAATAAATTTATTAAAAATGGCTAAAAATTAAAAGAAGGTGAGTATTTAGAATATCCAACATATCCACTAATATTTTTCAGTGCATTTACAAATCTGCGTTCATTACAACCCAAAGGCACCGCATCACATAACCATACCACTTACGTACGTACTTCTCCAGAATATGCGAAAATATCGCACACCGAGTCTTCAAAAGAGTCACAACTCAAAATAATACGTTTGCCAGAAAATGCGAAAAACTATTTCTTAGCACATGATAATCATATGGGCAAGGGCGACTTTACCTTAGTCTCTTTTTTAACAAATTATAACAAAAATTTGCCCCAGCTTTTGCTGAAAGGTAGATAAAAGCTCTGCGAACATTTTTAGCGTATAATCTCAAAAATGCCAAATTTTGAGTTGTGACTCTTTTGAAGACGGTTTGCGATATACATATGTATTTTACCAAGTACGAGTACTACATACATATGTATGTGTGTACGTGTATGCCCGGAAGGAGTCGGATAATATTAAAACGACGAAAATAGTAAAAACCATTGAGTCGAAAAGTTAATAAACTACATACAAAAATACGCAACAATTACAGAATTAATAAGGGGAAAATGCTGTTTCAGTTATTGAATTCTGCTTTTAAGTGCTGAGCCCAAACTTAATTCATCACCAAAGACATTATTATTATTATTATTATTGTGATAGCTACAGTGTGCCTGTGCCTGTGCCTGTACGCAGTACCTTCGTCTTTGTGCCGATGGTCGTGGTGCGAGTACGATGGGCGTCGGGGCGGGCGCGAGGGGCGTGGCCGCATGTGCAGCTCCGGTGGGTATCGGCGCTACCGGTGACGCTCCCATTGGTGCACTCAGAAAGGGCCACGTAACTGGTAACCGATATCCTTTTAATACAGTTATAATACATTTGGTTTTGAGTTCAGAACTATTTTGATTATAATTTATAAATACATAAGTGTAATTAAAAGAATGTATGTTGAATGAATGTATGAAAATACATATGTATGCATATGTACATATGTATTGATGGTAGCTAACTCGAATCTGACGACTTCACTTTGCGCAGAAAGGGAATCAAAGACCATCCTAATTCACATTTGCCACTTTTGCAATTGTGAGTGTTTTGTAGTACACAACATTGCAAATAAAAAATAAAAACAAAAATTCTTTCAATTTGAAGATTTGGCAAGCAAATTATTTTTATGTGGCCTAGAAAATAGCTTCGGATAGCGGGGTATGTCTATTTATTTTCTGATCATAACTTGGAAAACGTGGGTCCGAAGTTTTTAAAATTGTGTACATGCGTCTACTGAATCATTAGCTAAAATACTACCCAACAGAAAATTTATCACAATATTGCTAAAAAAAAGTATGAGTTAAATCTGAAAAAAA